GTTACTGCAAGGATCGACTATTGTAACTCATTGCTCTACGGTCAGCCTAAATGTATCTTGAAACGTTTACAGAGTGTCCTAAATAGTGCTGCTAGGTTTATACATCTTACTAGTAGATATGAACATGTTACGCCGTTGCTTATTCAACTTCATTGGCTACCAATTGAACAAAGGATAACTTTCAAAATTGCAGTAATTACATTTAAGGCACTTCATGGTGCTGCACCTAGCTATATCACTGATTTCATCAAGCCTTACACACCTGGTAGACTTCTTAGATCCTCTAATCAATTTTTACTTTCTACATCTAAATTTAATCTTAAAACTTATGGTGGCCGTTCTTTTACTATTGCTGCACCTTCTGTTTGGAATGCACTTCCATTCGAACTTAGATCTTGTAATTCCCTTTCTTCTTTTAAATCTAAGCTTTTTAAAATTTGTTATGATGTTGTCGTATAGAATGATGATGTTTTTATAGGATGACAATGTAGTTTTGTAGTTTTGTAGGTTTAGGATTTTGTTGTTATTTTTATTATGTAAAGCGCTTTTGGACCATTGGGAATTAGCGCTCTATAAATATTGTATATTATTATATTACCAATTCGGGCGTAATGCAGATGTTTCGCATTGATCAGTAGGGGCTGAAGGTTTATGTAAAAGATATAAGGCGTTAATTTCAGAGATGACAGATTTTGCTCATTTAAACGATTACAACTTGCTGGCAAACATTAAATTGTAAAATCTACTCTATACATGACACACTGGAGGTGTTGACCAATCATTTTTTAAAATAAAATCACAGAGTTCTGTCTTCTCTTCTTTCCGCAAACTTGGACAAAAGATCGCGATTTCCCAGTTTAGTACAACTATGGCTTACAGCGTTGCCGTAATGCGAGGTCTACCAAATAAAAAACAACCCTCCTAAACTTCCACAATTCCACAATGTCTCTGCAAAATTATATCTAGACTGCCTCTAAAACGGCCGAGATATAAGCATTGAAAGATGTAGCACAAGCAAACATTTGTGTCATGCATTTATTTATAGATAGGTGTCCCTTAAGGCTAGCAATAATTGACTATTCACAAAACATGTGCGAAGTTTCACGGTTTCACGTGCGACTACGTAGCTCCTGACGATAAATATTGATTTGGCGTGGAAATCATTGATTCTTGCTTAGTTTTCAGCGGCGCGACGCAGGGGTGAACTCTCTGGTTTTTGATACGCCCCACGCGATTTTCTCACTGCCGAACTGGCAGTTGAATTCCAATTTCAGTTCTTGACGCTCAAGCTGAACAACCGGCACAATCTCAAGAGCTGGAGAAATATCTGAGATTCATTCAACATGCTCGCTTTTAGCGAGGTTGCCGATTTAATCGGGGGCTGGCTAGTTGGTAAACTAGCGGATATGGCGTCTAGTCTATGACAAGGAAAACGCCGGAGGCTCGCTTTTAACGAGGCTGCCGATTTAATTGGCGGTGGCTCGTTGGAAAATTGGCGATTTAGGGTGTAGTCTTTGACTAGAGAAACCCTACAGGCTCGCTTTATTTGTACTAATTCCTTCGGCTTTAGTGGTCGTTGGGTGTTTTCAAAGGGCAGAAGCGAGGTTGTCGAATTGGCGCTGGCTCGTTTGTAAACTGCGGGTATGCGTCTACTTTATAAGTAGAGGAATGCCGCATCCTCGTTTTACAACAGTTTTACAACATGTATTCAAGGTATCAATTCCTTCGGCTAAGGTGGTCCTTGTCTCATTGCTGTGAATGTTTACAAAGGGTAGTATTCAATCGGCCGTAAAATGGACGTAAACATCTAGTCTATAACTAGAGGGAACGCCGCAGACACGCTTTATTCGTTTTTCCTACCCGAAGCAATCAGTAATCGGTGGGTGAAATTTATGGCAAGTGACCGTTGTTAGCTCTATAGGTCAGAGGCTGAAAGTGGAGCGAGAACTAGCTCCTTTTCTCACGACCCTATGGTAAGTGCAAGTGCCTCGCGGGTCTTAGCTGTTGCCTCTCTGCTCACTTTAACGGGGTGAGCATGATTCCAGATTCTGGGTTGATATATTTGCCCAGTGGTGTCCTTGCCTTCTTCTGAAAAACAAAGCAAATTAAACAACCAAACGTGGTGTAAGGAAGAAGAGCATTGATTTCCAATTTCAAAAATAGCAATGTTAAAGCCGTTGAAAACATGATAAGCTCGTCGGAGGAGAGATAACAGCCAGTAACCATGGCAGAATGACTTAAAAGGTGATAAAGAAAGGAGAGCTGACTGGCGTTACTACAGGGTTTTTGTTCCGTGAAAGGATGTCAGATCAGTAGTACTTCAAGACGTTTTCAATCCGGGGAGCTTCATAATGTTTCTTGGAGTTCGCAGGAATCCTCAAACGTGGTCCGCTCAAGGACATACGAAACATGTTGAAACGGCAAGAGATTAAGGCCTTATTTTAACGAAAGGGATTTCTTTTTCGTCCTGTAAACGCTAATACCGGGGTTCAACGGATGACTTCATCTCGGGTAAATGACAGGCGGTGATGATGGTGAGACGCTTTCATGGCTTTCGTTCTGGTAACACTAGCCTTCACGGGGGTGGCAGACCTATCTGAAGTTATGGAGCGTGTAAGTTGGACGAGGAGTCATAGCGCCTTGTATCTGTTGTATCAGTTGGTTAAGGTGTACCACCCTGGCGGTGCCACACCTTCTGTGAGGATTAAATAGTCCTGGTGCCCTGCCAGGATGTACACCACTGCACCTTTCCAACCAGTGGGCAGGACTACCATCAATGGCTGAAAATTCTCATTGAGAAAAATCTTACATTGCTGGGTCACGTGCATAGGATGCATAAAAACAGACTACCGAAGCAGCTGTTATACTCTCAACTCTGTTTAAGAATACGTAGTCAAGGGAGGCCTAGGTTAAAGCTCAAAAATGATGCTAAGAGAAACATGAAATGGAGAGACATCGAACTCAACCGATGGCTGGAGAAGCGCGAAGGGGAGTGCCAACAACAGACCTACCAGGAGAAGACTTATCAAACTGTGCTGAACCCAAGAACAGTCTCAGTCGAACCGACTGACTGTAATGATGATGAATGAAATTCGTTTAGAAAAAAAAGCTGTTGTGTGTTAAGGAACGAGTTAATTGCTAAATCATTTATTAGCAGCTCTCACGGGTCAGTACGTGAGGCAGTCAAGGAGATACAAGATATTAAGGCATGTAGAGCGTGAGTGTACTTTATGGGTTAGCAAAAATTGACCTATTCTCCTACAAACGATGATGAATGTCCCTAAAACTAGATGGGTAAAAGCAAACCATGTCATTTTTACATCTCCTTCAAGAAATTAGGAAGAGTGTTCCTAAATCTAAATTTCCTTGCGACCTTTAAGCCGCTATCCCTTGCCCGTTCAAATAAATAAAATGTAAAGTATTTTCAGTTGAGGGTTTTTTTCTTTCCCGCTAATGACAATCGCAACACATAATCGACACCATTTTGGATTTTCTCTGGATCTTTTAAGATACTGACGCATGCATTCTACAAGCAGAACGCCGGAAGCCCCGAAGGGAACTTTCAGCCCCCTGCTATCAGTTGATCCTTGGGGCATTATTTATGCAAAGTGAGATCAATCTCTTTATCAAACTAGCTCACTTCCACGGTAAAAGAAAGCCAGTCGATTATCGAGCTGATGAAAATCAGGCAGGGCTACTTATAAACTCTAACAGAAAAACCTAAACATAATATCAGACTATCGAGCGAAAATCTCAACTCTATTCAGTGTTCTAGATGAACAACTCTTATCAAGTAAGCGCAAAGCCGCTTCTCAGTTGTATCACCGAGTCATCGCGGAATTAAGATTTGAAACCCTTAATGAGGAACTTTCAGAAACAGATGAAGTCGAATACAAAGTGACCGTTATCATTCAATACCTTGAAGATATATGGAATTATGGGAACTTATGACAACGCTGAAAAGAAGGAATACTAATAATAAGCCATATGGTTGACTTGTCTGACCAACAAACATGTCGCCACTGAGTGGCTGTCACAAAAGATTTGCACCCAACGACGAATTCCTCCTAAATACATTGAAAACTCTTTTTAGGCTATCCAGAGCACTTTAGAAATGCATACTAAGCGGCGCTATGAAATCTGTATCTGTTTAGTCAGCCTAGGGGAACTTGAGTCTTTTCGAAATTACAAGGGCTTCAGCATTATTTTCCCGAAAATGTTAGATACAATTTAACGTTTCAGGAAAGCGAGATTTTTTCTTAATCCTCTCTCCATCACATTTTTGAAGCCGACAATTTTAGCTTTTTTTATACAAAAGTTAGCCCAACATGAGGAGTGAAATATGCGAAGTTAAAAAACTTCAAAGCTTCGAAAATTGTGCCTGAATGGAACGGTCATCTAGAACTTTCTATACAGTCGTTCTCAAGCAAAAGAAAATTCTGGGCAATATTTGCTTCTCCGAACAGATATTTTACAGAAAACAGCCGTTGGGTGCCCTGAACAAAAGAAAACGACTCACAACACCAATTTGAGCATTCTTAGGAAGTGTTCCTACAGTATGTAGCTACGCAGCACCTTTCCGGAAACAGTCAAAACGTAGGCGAATGGGTTATGTTTGTGCTAGCAAAATTAAATACAAAACAATTTAATCTGCTTTGTGCGCACAACGCTCACTGGTGTGTGTGTTTTTTTAAATGCGATAAACAATAGACAGCCTGATCTAAAAACATCTTATTGCTGCTTTGTGATTCGTTGGAATCACGAGACAAACAGAAAAGGGGTTAATGGGCACACAAATTTTTTAACGTTCCAAGCATCTTCAATAGCTGCAACAGCTTGAGGCCTTAGCAACTTTTCGAAGTAGGCCATTGAAAATTGGACGTTTCTAACAGACATTTTTCAAATATCTTGGTGGTTGACAACCTGAACCGTATTTCTTCGAAACGTAACGACGCCGCAAGTTCGCGTGCTTTTAGAACAGATAATGTCGTGATGTACGTCAGTGAAGGAGATTGGGTCAAAAGGTTGAGGCATCTTAGATACCACACACCCACAACACCTATTACTAGCCTATCAGAAATGACTTCAGTCTGAAAGAGCGGTTTCTATCCGCATTCAAGGTGAAAGCGACTTTTGAACAGACAAGCCTATCACGTGAACCAACGCATGAAAACCAAGAACATTCGACGAACAGACCTCTAAATGAGTTCGTTTCGTAAGTTTCTTAAGGTTATTACAAACCTACTTTAGGTCATACTTCGTGTCAGGTATTTCACAATACCTCCAGTCTGAACCAGACAGATAATACAACAAACATGGATGACCAAAGCCAGGAGTTTTGTGGTCTAACAGCCCGCCTTCACTTTGAATACGAATATACAGTTCCGCCGTGGAAACTAGACCAATTCGAGATTCCATCGGGGAATGATGTCTTGGAATCTCACGGGAGGAGAAAAGGAAGGAGAAGAGATAAGAGCGCAAACAAAGCGAAGAAAGCAGACAAGGAAGGAACAGCTAAAGGACACAAAATGTTGCCAACCAGTCATTTGCATAGAAACAGATACAGAAACTAAGAAAATACTATGTGAATCTAATCTATTCATCGCAACAGCAATCACTGAACGATAACATCAGTGATCAATGTGGTCACATTTTCTGTTCAGAAGTTTGCCGATGAAGGATACTTTGCTTTGATCGATACGAAGTTTTGGAAGCAGGGTCGGAACAGGGGAACCCGGCGGGGATGTTTCCCTACTGTTCTCCTACTTAACATAAGCCACGTGACTGTAATGATACCAGGTTACAGAGCGCTGGTTGTACCGACGAACAAGGGAGTTGTTTAGGGCACAATTTTTTTAACACTCAAAGCAAAAACATAGTGCAACAAATACAGCGGAGACAGATCCAATCGAACGATGAACCGGGCTGAGAAGCAAGCCAGTGCTAAAGCAGACGCGTATAAGGTGGGTAACAAAAATGAAAAGCTCACACTCATCTTGGATGTGAATAACAGGAGCTACAATCCCATGAAAAATTATTAGTACACTTCAGATTTTCTCCAAGCAAAAGCGATTTTTAACTTCGTGGGCGTGAGAAGGGAGAAACCTAGCCAGTACTACCTGTTGTAGCATACGTTACGCAGCCAAATCTATCGCCTAGCTCATGAGAGGTTGTACGGTTATAACATGTACGTGGTTTAACTTTTAACTATATCATATTTTCTCTTCGTTTGCAAAGGCAATGCTTGAAGTCCAACAATCAATCACTGACTTCCTCGAGCGATATTTGAATTATCAAGGTCGTAATGAACTTCCAGAAGAAAGACGGTAATAAATAATTCTGTATTTTGATAAAAGCGATTTTCCATTGAATCAAAGTGTGCTAATACTACGTAGAAATGTTAACAAAAAATATGCAGTCTTAGCAAGTGTCAGGGTTAAACTACAGCCTATCTCTTTCAGAAGTATCATCCTATTTTATTTAAGTGCACCTTTGCTTGTTTACACGATCATGTATCTCAAACTTATACTTTAAACACAGATGTTATTTTCTGTTAAAAAAGTTTTGACTTAAACAACTTTTTGTCTGTCTACATAGCATTACACAAAATGTACCTCTGGACTGGTTGGACAGGGTAAGCATTTTAGATATTTTGTATGAGGCACAAAATAAAATAAATAATTTAAGTAACGGTTAATTTATTTAGCGGATAGTGTTAATTGGGAACACAATAACTGAGCAGAAAAGCAAAACAATTAAGACTGAAATTCAATTTCAAGGGGCTAAACTGTTAGAACTTTCTTTCATCCCTTCTGTTGAAATTTACAAGTAATCATTCACGTCAAGTCTTCCCGCTAGATTTGATAAACATCGATACCTCTAAAAACTAGACTATCGGATTCTAGATTCAAGACTCAGGCGTTGTTCACTTTTAGTATATTTTTAGTTACTGTAATTTAGGCTAGTTTTATATATATACAACACTGTGCAAAAGAAATGCAAACGAAATTCGGTGCTTTTCGTTCTTTGTTCTCGCGACAATTCGACGAAATTTCGTCAAAGCGCTCGCGAAATTTCGTCGAGTTGAACGAAATTTCGCTGTCATCTTGGCGAAATTTCGCATCCACTGAAGGGAAATTTCGTTTTGCCGAAATTTCGTCGGAGCGAAAATTCGCAACTGCGAAATTTCGCAATAGCCAAAATTCGCAGTGGCAAAATTTCGCTAGCGCGAAAATTGGCAGCTGCGAAATTTTTCTGGCAGTGGAGGAGGGTTGTAATGAAAACATTTTGTTCGGACCGCTTTAAACCATTAGTTCGAGTAATTTTTTCAGTTTAGACTTCAGTCGCACGAGTGGCTTTGGAGGTGACCGTTTTCATGTAAGTCAAAAGCAAAGTTGATTTTTCATTCGGCGGGATATTTTATTTGGGTCTAAAAGATAAAATATTAACCTGTTTTCAGTTATTATCGCTCAATACCCTAAACCATTAGTTCGAATAACCAATAAATTAATCCTCATAGAAAGGCTAATTGGTTTCACTATACATCAGTCTTGTTTACCGTTTTTGCACTTTTGACTTTAGTCACACGCGCAGCTTTTTAAGGTGAGACTTTGATAAGCCGGGCATTCCATTTGGCTCTCAAAGACACAGTTTTGACCCTTTTTCAGCTATTTTCGTCTTAGTACACTAAAACATTAGTCCGAATAACCAATAAACTTATCCTCACAGAAAGGCTAATTGATTGCACTATCTGGTTTACGGTGATCGCACAGTAGTGTACTATGTTGAAATTTAACTTAGTCAGAGCATCTGCGCGCGTGAAAGTATTTGTTGCAAATGTCTTTTTGGGTCTTAAAACTGATCGCATAGCTTAGTGCATTTGCCACGCGTAGTCATCGATAAAGGAAGATAAATAGTTTACATGTACAGTAATTAAACAACGCCACACAAGATACACTGTAGTTTGACGATTTTCGTTTATCACGGTACAGAAGCGGCGCGGGCGAACCGAATTAAAATAAGACAGAAATCTGAAACAAGAATGTTTTGCTCTTTATTTATTCTGCATTAAGCTTTATTAGAAAGTGTATCAGTATGCAATAGATAACTTCAAGCTAATTACAGAAATACATGTATTAGCTAGCGAGACATTTAAAACAAAATTATGTTGAGAAAGAAGTAAAAAAAAGTTACGAGTCAAAAAGCACCGTTCTGCCTCAAAACCTCTCCACAATTATTGTAGCATTCGTTGCGATATTTCTTTTTTCAATAATGATCACGCTTACATGTACAGCTGTACCTGTACTTTTGCTGGAGGTGATGATTACAGTTCTGTAGTCAGCTACAAATTCTTGAAAGAAGAAATTTCGTTTCGTGGAAGCGAAATTTTCTCTCGTCCAAACGATATTTCGTTTCGCCGAAACGAAATTTCGCTTCGTCGAAGCGAAACTTCGTTCTAATGACATAAAATTTCGTCTAACGGGCACGAAATTTCGCAACGAAATTTCGCTTCATGCCACGAAATTTCGTTTCGATTAATCACTTTGCTTGCGGAATTTCGCCGACATCAAAACAATAGAAGCACCGAAATTTCGCCGCTTTTTCGTCTGAAGCGAAAGTTCGCAATATGATTGCCGACATTCGCGTTATTTCGCTTATTTCGGCAAATTTCGTTTGCATTTCTTTTGCACAGTACTGTATATATATTTCTAATTTTTTTTTTTTCAGGGCCATCATTGATAGCAGCATTTTATGCTGAATAGATAGCCCTGGCTAAATAACATTTATTATTTATTATTAAATTTACTGTATTAAGCGCAATCCTTGTATATACTACACTGCAGTATATTTTAGTTTTAGATCACCGCTGAAAATGTCCTCATAACGATTGACTCTTTGAATAAATTTCCAGGAACCTTCAAGACAGGAAAACCTCGACAGTGTTTTATTAATAAAGAGGCAAATAGAAGTATCACTTCCAGTACGTATGTAAACATTATTTACGAGAAATAAATGTTCATTTATTTCATTAGTGGAGAACTCCCAGCACAAATCACTGATTTCTAAAAGAGAAGACAGTGAAAAATTGGTGGGCCACACCACATGCATATCATGTGAAATCATCTCATCAACTCTAGATATGAAAACTGCTACTACCATTGTCATAGCAGACTCTGTTACTGACAGCAGAAGCTAGAAATTAAAATGTTGCATCTACAAAGGCAGCTCCAAGGAATTAATTTTTGATTTTATCATAGAAAGAACCTCTGTTAAAAGACGTTTTGGGACCACTTTGGAAATACTTCCTGTTCAATCCCAGAGAGCAAGAGGCTTCACTTACAAGGTAGATGTATATTAGTAATAAACTTGCAACACTCTCGATTAATTCAAATTTTCCACAACAATTTGTACACTTACTCAACAAAAAATTGCTTGATCCTTTACTTAATCATTACTACCACAATCCTGTGTTTGTTAAGCTTCCTAAAACAAAGTAACAGTTTTGTAGTACAGCATCATGTAACTTTTCAACCCCACCAAATAGTATTTCCCCAATTGCATGCTATCTGGTTGGAAAATGAGGTAAACTGAGATGCAAATTCTTTTTCACAGCCATTACCATGACCAAGAGTGGCAAGAAGATACTTTGGTACGTTATACAAGTCACAAAATTTGTATCAAAATAGTAAATAATGCACGATACGTAAATGAACTATTAGTGCATCATGCCTTGAACCTTGACACCAACGCTGACAACACTTGCAGATAGAATGCTGAATTATCTTGAAACAGCAAAAATCTTATTGAACTATAGGTGTGTAAATGGAAGGAATGTAACTGAACTCGCGGGAAACCAGCATCTCATTGAAGGCGTGGTAGTTATTAACCATTTACACCGCTTAAACTTGGTTATAAGCTGATAGTTATTTTCAACTGTCTTAGGTGTAGTTTACAAAAAAATGGAACCTTAAAGTAGTTCAAATTATTTTTTATATAACAAGTATTTTCAATTGGTGCAAATTTAAAACCATAACAATGACAACAAATGAAAATCATAGAGGAAACACGATATTAGATCATGACTGCCTTTGCAGGTGCAAGTAGGTGGTAACTTGACATGAAATGGTTTTTTTCTTTTTATAGAGTTCTAGAAGCATAGTAGAAGACTGCAAGAGTGTTGTCCATATCCTTCAGCAAAAAACGAGATTATTGGAAATCAGTGAGGTTAGGACATTGCTGAACTTGATTAAATGTGTAAATTGAAAAGCGGCCGTTTTCCGATGAGAAAAGCCACATTTCTCTGGTTCAAATAATGTTGCAAATGTAACTTTACAATTTAATACAATGACAAATTTCGTAGCTTGAGCTTGGTCAGTTTCAACCTTCTTAGATTACAAAGCTACAGGTACTATTATACGTAGCTTTCTGTAATCATGTGGAGCATGTTTAAAAAAAAAAGGAAATTGTAAATCTGGTACTGCTATGTAGACAAAGTGTCTATCTACAATTGGGCCTAAACATGAATTATCGAGGGGCGTTTTGCAGAATAATGGTTTTTTTGAGCAAGAATTTGCTTTTCTCTCACTCTCTCTCTCCTTCCCCCTCTCCCTCGCCCCCCGCTTCATCCCTCTTTTTCACTCTTGTTCCAACTTTCTTGACAACGTTGCGTAGAAACGCTTGCTACGTAAGCTACCACATTATACGTACTACTACACAATACTCTACCACCTCAACCAAATTCATTAACTCTGACTATCACCACTACTTACTTCATTTCTCTTCAATTTACTTAACTTTTTAAGATGGTGTCTAAAGTGCATTTTCACTTTTCGAATAGTCAAAAAGAGAAGTCAAGTAAGCCTACATGTAACCATTTAATTTCAAACGAATGCATTAGTACTTCAAGCAACACAACAATACTTTGGCACAAGCTGTCCTTTTATAATAATTAAAATAATTCAAGTACTATCTATACCGCTATTTACACAAAAAAAACGGATCACCAGCACTTTACAATAATTCACCTAAACTTTCTTTAAAAAATATATAACATAGATATACAATCTAAAATGTTAAATGTAAAATACATTTGAATAAGAAGAAATTAAACCAAATTAGCTTAATAAAGGGGCCTAAATGAAAGCAAACTTCTAGTCTAACCTGACTAGCACAGACATATCGAGGAGTGTTATATAACAGATGGTATCTCTCATTATTACAAATTAAAATTGGTTTATATACTTTTTGATCTACAGAACATTGGCAGCCCTGAAGACTTAAGTCAACCTCTCAAAAGGATACTGAATTATTTAAAGAACAGATCAATTAAGCCAAGAAAATCAGAGGCTTCAACCAGGTAATTCCTGTAATGACTTCCCAAAACTGCTTTTAAATGGCCAGAAAATATTTTCCACCCAACACTTTTGGAATTGGTTTGTAGGAGTAAGTGAACAGAGGCTCCTCATTTTAACTTTGCAATGATATTGCCACAGCCGATTACCTTCACCTGGGTGGGTTTCCGTTTAAAACTACTTTTGGTACAATAAAAAATTGCCCAAAAAACAAAATTTAAACCAACAACAAATCAAAGGAAAACATATTGACAGTCATGAATTTATGACATGACCAATATTATTATCTTGGCAACAGTATTTCAGTCTCTCTAGACCCTCAATCTAGTGTGGAAACCCATTTAAATAATGTGTCACTTAATTTACTGTGTTGTCACTTTGGTGATAGGAAAAAATGTCTAGTATAAATCAACATCAAATCCTGTTTCACTTCTACACAGTGATGAAGAATGCAGATTGTTAAAAGAACTGACTGAGTCGGTAAGTTGATTTTTAAACAATAAACTATCATTGCTAACTTAATGCAAGTTTGAACACTAATGGATGACTGCGAGTAACCTATGTTTACAATAAACAATAAACAATTAACTATCATTGCTAACTTAATGCAAGTTTGAACACTAATGGATGACTGCCAGTAAACTATGTTTACTTATTTACCAGCCAGGATGTTCATGTTAGAAGAGAAGAACTGTGCCCAAGGTCTTGAATAGAGCCTTAGAGCAAAGGCTGAAGGGTGTAATGGAGATGAAGGACACCGTTTTTTGCTATACTAAGACAGACAAGCCTAGGCCCACAAGGGACTTACTGTGCAATGTGCCTAATTTCTACGTGTACATGACTACATGTATGTTCACAACTGTACAAGGGATTCATTTCAAGAACTGCACTTACTCCACAAAATATGCAAAAACCCTATAAAACTTCAAAATATTTAAAAACAAAACAAAAACACAGTTTTAAGTTAACTTGGGGTGCAGGTTGGTTTCTCAATAATTTGCTTCATAATAAGAAACGTAAGTCAAACCATTCATACTTGACAATGTTACACAATAATTTGGGATAGAATAAATAAGGTGACCAAAAAAAGAGACATACAATAAAGAGAGAATGAAATGAAAAAAGTGAATTAGTTTAATTTGGTGTACCTCAATTAAGCAGTTTGTGTACAACAAAACCATGTACATGTAGGACAAATTCAAGCAGTTACGTTTCTGCTTAAATAAGTATAATAACCTCAATTGCAGAAGCACATTTCAAAAAATGAATTTTATAAAACTGACCAAGTCAAATACATAGTGATTATACAATCCTTAATGAAACAATGACGAAAACAATGACAACAAACATCCACTCTCTTTTAAAGGAGTTTGAAGCTAAGCAATACATTAGGTGATCTTTCTTATGAGATTTCCCATAAGTGAAATATTTATTTTGCCACTGACGGTCTGCCAAAACCTTCCTGTTTTTCATCCATTTCGTTTTTCTCTCAATATCATATTTCATCTAAGTGATAAAGTTCAACTTTCCTAACTATTGGTACTTGTCAAGCTGATCCATAGTTAGAGAGAAAATTTGACAGTTTTCTGGGTGTAATTCCACTGAATAAAGAAAAATAAGTGACCACAGGTCTAAGAACCCACATTCCAAACCTTGCATAGTTCTTATTTGTGGTAGTAAGGACTGTATGGCTACAAGTGCGAGATTAACCAGTTACATTTGAGGACTTAAAATTCCTGACCATTGAAAAAAGATGTTTTGGAAAAAGAAAAAGAAAACATTTACTTCTTCTTACCTCTAACAGTAACAAAGCTTCAGGAAGTAACGTTTCAAATTAGGTTTTTTTCTCAGACAGTCCAAGATCTGGCAAAAGCAAACAGGAAAACAAGAAAATGTCAAAGGTAGATCAGAAATGTGTTCTTTTTATCAGTACACCAAGCAAAGTGCTTTATATCTTGGGATACACTACTGTGACATTGCAGCAAACTAACAGCATTGTACATTAAGAAGGTGTCTGTTTATTGCCACCTACATCTACACTACAGCCCTCACTTCAAAAGCAACAAAAAAAGTGACAAAGCCGCCACTATGAATGTAAGTCATACCCATTTAACCTCCTTGTCAGGTATGCCATAGACTATGAAAGACCAGATGAGAGGGAAAAATGGAAATGTCATAGGCACTCAAGCAAAATACAAGTTAAGACAGGCACAAAAGAAAACCTGCAGTCAGAATATTGAGAAATTAGGCCCTAAGATCACTCAAGTGAACCATCATGACACATGGAGACCTTATTTCAATAATAATTATTCATAACTGTAAAAAGTAAATAAAAATGTATTACTGCTTGATAATTTTAATGATACAGCTGAAATATCTGAGAGCTATCAATGACACATAAAGAGCATACCGCTTCATAAGCCCTAAAACAACCTGAACACTCATTACAGTGCGACTACTATAACTGGGGCCACCTAGACAAAGTTGACCAATTGGATTACAGGAAAATAACAATAGATTCCGAGGAAGTTGTCTCAATCATAATTACCACGAAACAAAATAAACAACATGGATCGAAATTAACCTATTACAACCTACAGACATGACCTTTTGAACCTGCTGAAGAAAGCACGGTTTCCTGACAGGTCCATTAGTCTTTGGAGTAAGTGTTCTCTTGAGGGCGCATGTTATAGCAAAGCACAGCAATGATAGCAAAGAAATTGTTAGTAAATGACAAAATAACAGCTTGTGTGAAACGAATACGTGTCCTGGTTGCTATATGTAGGTTTCAAATAGAAAAACAGTCTGGTGAAACATTCTGCATTCTTGAAAAACATTTGCTATCAATTTTTGAATTTTGTGCTTTGATTAACCCATGGCTACTGGTTGCCCCACAACCAACTTTCTTGGCATGTATTGTTATTTTCCTGTAATCCAATTGGTCAAATTTGTCTAACTGGCCCCGGTTATAGTAGCCGCACTATAATAATTCACAGTTTTAATAATAATAATAATATTTATTATTCATTCAAAACACTTCTCCATTTCTGATTGGCTAAAATCCCACGGATAATTCATTATAAGCTGCTACTGTTGCAATAGGTGAAAAATGACATCAATTCTACAGCAAAATTGCCAGAAAACTGGACAGTTTACTAGATGACCTGGGGACGAGGTTGAGTTGTTTTGTTCATAAAAATAATTCATTATAAAATATTAAAAATAACTAATTGATCACAATGAAAACATATCCTATGTGTTTTTTTCATTTAAATAATCTCATGCACAATACTATAGTAAAATGAATGTACGATTAAAAGTAATAATAATAAATAATAATAACAATATTGATAAAAACAAGCAAAAGATTTTTTATTTCATTTTTAATCAAAATGAATTGTTTGAATGAATGAACTTTATTTAAGTGTTGAGAGAATTCAGTGATGTATTAGCTAACTGAGGACACTAAAAGAACATTCCAAATACAAAGTTAAAAAAAATTAATCGGTTAATTAAAACAGAGAAGTTACAAGTGATAAAAATCTATTTTAAAAGGTTCATAATAAAAATCTATTAAAAAAAAATTAATGCCACTTAGTTCTAAGAAGAACTGATGTCTAAAATATTCACGAATTTATAATTATTTAGTTAAAAAGTGACAAAATTCCATTGCAAAAGTGGTGAAGTGATAAATAAGTTACAATATTGGTGCACGTGCCCTCAACTAAAGAAGTCAAGTCTTTCTTTCTGATGTTCCGTCTAAAATTGTCCAGCGAGGGTCGCTGTCGATCACTTGAGGATAGTCTGGACCAAAGGTATGGGCCCAGGTAGCTAATTGAGTGTTTTCCACATCTTACTGTTGAGTAACGAGGTATATCAAAATCTGCATTTCTTAAGGAGTATCCTTTGTTTGCAAGATTGAAAAGTTCACCTATGTAGTCAGAGGCCAAACCATTTCTAACTCTGTACATTAAAATTACAATCTCTTGAAGCCTCCTATTGTAGAGAGATAGCAAGTTTGAACTGCATAGAAGATCTTCGTAAGTGTCTGTCCTACAGTTCTCAATTGCTCTTAAAGCGCGTTCTTGCAGTCTCCCCAGCTTTCATCTCTCAGATTGTTTACAAAAATGCCATACAGTTTGGCAATACGTCAGGTGAGGAAGAATTGCTGTTAGGTACAGTTGAAGCTTGGTCATGCATGAGATTAGATTGCGCAGTCTTGCTAGTACCCCTATTTTCCTACTCGCTTTCTTAGAGATGTCACTAATGTGTTCAGTGAAACTGACCTCATCGTCTATGTTTACTCCAAGAATTCTTAGATTAGTTGTTGTTTGAGTTTTTGATTATCAATGTCAAGGGTACACTCATCCTTTGCCTCTTTGTCAATGTTTCGAGGGGTCATTGCTAAAACTCGGTAGTTCTTGGGATGGGCATGGAGAAGATTTGCTTGTACCAATGTGATACATTTTCTGCTTCTTTTGTGAGTTCAGAGATTACAGCCTTGATATTAGATCCACTTTGATAAACCCAATGGTCATCGGAATACATGAACAAGTTACTGTGTGTGTACTTTCAGAGATAAGTCATTTTGAAACAAGTTCCATAGTAACGGACCGAGTGGTGAACCTTGCGGGCAACCCCTTAACTGATCTTTCCACGTGCTTGTCATATTGTTAATTTTAATGCAGTTTTTTCGCTCGGTGAAATAGGAACGCATTAGTTCTAAGGACATATCAGAGAATCCGTAGGCTTCAAGTTTCTTAATCATAAGCGCATGATGCAACGAGTCAAATGCCTTGCTCATGTCCATTGACAAAACTGCTACACATTCCTTGTTATCCATAATTGCTTTTCTCCAGTCCTCCTTACAAGGATTAGGTTGGTCTTGCAGCTGTGCATTTTCCTGTAAGCTGACAATTTATGATACAGACGGGTATCCATTCTCTCTGTGATTTGTTTGCCGAGTAGTGATTCAAACACTTTTGCTACTACATTCAGGACTGTTACTGGTCTGTAATTAGTATGATCAGCCCTGTCCTCCTTTTTAAAACTGGGGTCTAGACTCCCCTCTTCGAATTACTCGGCCACTGCCCACTTTGAATACGGTATTAAAAAGATTTGTTAATGAAGGCACAAGGCTGGCGGACACTGGCTTCAGAATTTTATTGGAGATGGCACCCCATCCCATGGCGTTATGGGTATTTAGCTTCTTTAACTTGTTTTCGACTGCACATAAGAGTCTAACTTGTTGAATTCAAAGTGAAGACTGTGATAAGAATGGCAAATTGCTTCCACGCTTACAAGCGTGTTGAGGCCTTCTTCGCCGAGTTGAAGAACATGCTGGCCTTCAATTTCGCTTGCCGTTGTTGACAAGTAATCTCCAAATACTTCTGCTACATTTCTTTGGTCGCTAATTATGCTGTCATTTATCTGTATGGAAATGTTTGTGGTATCTCTACTTTTCGACCTTAGAAATGAGTTGAAGGTCTTGATTTTTACTTGAAATAAGTTTTTTTTTAATTGAAATGAATTCTTTTTAAATTGAAATGAACAGGAGCTTATGAAATGACATGACTTGTAAATAGTGCTTTGACCTAATATATACATTTTTTCTTCTTCCGCGAAATTAATTGTAAATAAGTTTTAATAGTTAGTTTTGTTATCAATAAAAGGTTATTATCTTTATAATAAATTAATTATATGTCTTAGTAAATAAATAAGGCTTTCGTGATCTCTTAAAACGTCTGTCAATAGTAGCTGCTTGTCTAAATAAAGGCAGACTATTCCATAAAGTCACAACGTCACTTTATACCATAAAGTCACATAAATATCACAAAGGGTGATATTTTTTTGTAAATTCATTAATATCTATAGGCATGAATGTTAACTCTTGCATCATATAAATGTATGTGATATAAAAAAAATTCCATGTGGGTATATTTCATTCAGGGGGGGCTGGCAACGGCCTTTGATCTTGCCGCTTTTCGGCTTTCCATGATCGCCCCAGTTAAGAAATCTGTCAATCATTCGAGAACTGTAGCGAGCGTGCGCGAAACGGGCTGGGAACAACAACAAAGTTCGTCTTCGCAGCGACTCGACAGTGTGATGAAGTGAATTCGCTTTTGGTCCTGTTGGCCATTGCTTTCTTTGCTGTAAGCGATTTTTTCCGCAGTAATGTGGAGCTTACGTTTTCCTTTCGTCTGGTCTTGCGTTTATCATTACATGCGATTTACTACGCTAAGATGAGACCAGTGAACTGTCATTGTACATGCTCCTCGATCGATGCCCGACCTTTTGGCTCACTACAGGCTTTCAAGCTGTGTTTCTGTTTAGAAGACCCACAAGACTAGAAGAAGGGCCAACCCTCCAATGCGTATGTAGAAGAGTTTATATTTTCAAGTAAAAGGCCGAAATTAATCCGTCGTGATATTTAAAAAAGCGCGGTGGCCGTGGTCAAGTAGAAGAGTTGTCAGACTTGTTTACGGTTTCATTACACCTTTAAGACGAAAAGAAATTATGATTGAGATCCTTAATTCTTCATCCTTGATTGTGAACTTATCCTGGCAGAGTTGCCTTGGATGATTGAGTGGCAGATGGTCAAATCTCGTAGTTCATGTATTTTTTTTATGTACAAGAAGCTAAATAAATTCTGCGAAGAGATCATTGATTTCACTCTTGATATGCTTAAGTTCTTATCTTCGTGTGACTTAATTTAAACTTTACGGTAGATTCTAAGAAATGATATAGGCAAATGAAAGGGTAATTATTTTGTGTGTTTGGAATTCTCTTTTCATGAAAGCAGTTACTACACTGCCTTCAGTTTGAGTCCTCATTCAATTGTGTTTTGTTGCAAACAAAGAGGGAAAAATTGTAAATATTTTATTCCAAAAACTACACTACCCACTGGAACAAGAGTATGGTTAAAAAAAGATTAGCTAAGGTCAAAAAATAAATGTTCAAGTTTGCATGTTTTGACAAGGACTACATCTGGCTAAATATGCTTCATAGGGAATTTATAAAATTTAAAAAATGATGACATTTGTATTTTTGCCTTTCCTTTGGCCACTGTGATCAGTTTTTGCAATATAATTGCATGTAATGTTTTACACCCTTGGACATCAACCTGCCAGGTTAGTTTGTGTCTGTGTAAAAATGTAGTTTACTGTTAATGAAATCAAAGTAAACCCTCTCAACTTAAAAATTGCCTTGTACTAGTGGATATTGAAAACACCATATGATGCCTTGGAAAAAAAAAATGTAAAATGATTATTAAGATAATATTATTTGCAGTCAACAATAACAGTTAGAAACTTGTGTTGAGGCTGGAAAAATATTTTTCAGAGACCATAAACCTTCACTGACTTTGTTGTTACAACAAGTGGTAAAAGGGTATTAAAATGTGAGATCACCTCCCTGGGCTTACACTGAAAGAGAGTATGGGTAGTAGGACACATTGGGCATTTCCCTACCCTTTATAAGCCAAGAGACCTTATTTATAATCCTGATTCATTTCCTTTAGCATACAGAATTATGGTAGCTTTTAAACTTAGAAACATGGCAAAACTTGGGGGGGAAATGGTGGTACCAATAGACTGTACTCTATAGACCGCTGCTTCTTCAACCTTCACAACCCAAACAGACACCTTGTTTAAAACTCTAAAGGGTGAAATGGTCACCACCCTAAATAAGCAGCACATACCCATCTAGACCAAATACACTAAGGGCAGTATCATAGAAAGAACTGCTGAGAGGATAGGGCTCAAGCCCGACAATAACTTCTTTTGATGGTTGATAAAAAATCAATTTTACCTGGTATAATTTAGTTGTAAATCAGATTCATAACTTACACAAACAATAAACTTAAGTTGTGTATTTTTCAAGCCTCTTCTGATTCTCTTTATAAACTTTGCAAAACATTCAGTTTTCTTTTTTCTGTTTCTTGTACTTCAGTCCTTTAAGGGATTTTCTCAACGCATACTCTTTCCTGATGTACTCACTCTTATTAGCAACTGAATTAGCCTCTTCTTCTTACACTAAACCACTATAATCATTTCAAGTATTATAATTCATAAATAATGGGTAATTTTTGTACCAACAATTTCAAGGAAATACTTGAAACCGAAGTCACTATCTAATACAAAACTACTAAATACGGTTTTACTGTTGGAAATTTATTGATTATCACTCCAATGACATTCCAGTGAAGGTTTTGAAGGTTCAGTAAACTCCTCCCAGCCTTCTGATATTAAAAATAGCTTATACTGACAGACCCAGTATATGTGAAGCAAAGTGATTGGAACATTTACCCTGGTTTTTACTAAATTGGCCCTGTATTCTGTATTTACGCCCATAAATATTTGTTGTACCTCCCGGTGTACACAAACAAACTTACGAACAGCGAAGTAGAAAATCAGTGGTTTAATGAACATTCACATATGACTGTTGCAAGACTCATACCAATATATTGTGCCCGTAGCATGTGTTTAAGATTAGGAAGAGAGTCTTAATACCACTGCAAGTGGAAAAATATAAGAATTAGAGCAAGATGGTTGCTCGAAAATTATAACTGAACTTGCCGAGATCCCGAATCACGATAAGTGAAGTCACCCATGAACTGTTCATAGATCACGCCTCCTGATGTCCAAAAAGTCCATTAAAAAAAGTTCATAGAAACCTTTTCTTGATATTTGTGCGCGGGAAGACTTAAAACTGAGCAAAAACTCATCGTCCTTCCATGTCCCCATTCTCCGCCATATTTGTTTTCAAGGAAAATTTGTACTCAGTCTCACTCGGCCGAATTTCTTAACTGGGGCGATCATGTAAACTCGGTTCCAGACCTCGCTGCCAGCCCCCCCTGATTTCATTAATTTTTATCAATTTCTCTCTTTTGTTGCAGATACCAGTCCAGCTGGACATTTAGCTTCAAGTATCCTACCAGTGATGTTACTCGATGTGAATTTGCTTTAACAACTCAGACTGAAGTAAACTAACTTTATAAATGTACATTAACTTACAGATTCAAAATTGGTCTTTTTTCCAATTACTAACATTACATTAGTTATCACAAGGAACTACTATAAAGATGTTACATAATAATATTCCAAATAAGTTGTATGTCATAAAACAGATATTTTGATGTTAAATGATCCATTATATTAATATCCAAATCAATATTCTGTAACTTTTGTTAACTATTTATAGCAAATTAAACTTGTCTATTTTCACAAATCATGAGCAAAGTTTGTGATGGATGTCAATTTAAAATTAAATGAAAATAAACTACTGCATAGAATTTTGAAGAAAGATAACTTTAAATAAAACCTGTGTAAGGTTCGGTTCACAATAATTAACCCATATGAACTGGAAAATGGAGAAATCTGAAAAAAACTAAATGCATATACTATATTTCTTTTGTCCAATCTTTTTGAAGTTATGATTTCGAAATGCTTTCCTTCCACACTAGATCGTAAAACAGGCATTTTCAAATTTATTCACTTTTAAAAACATTTAAATATTCTCCTGCCAATGGACAACTACATAAATGATGAATATATGAATTTCCTATACTCAATTTCATATATATTCTTCTCTACACTTAATTACCCTGATGAATTTGAACAGTAGACCCAGCCATAAGAAACACATTGCAGTGGCAAATCTATCCTATGCAGAGGGGATGAAGTCAAAGAAAACTGAAACTGTAAAAAATGAAATAGCCTGCACAGATCATCAAAAAAAACATATGACAGCTCCTATATTCTCAAGACAGCCCATAGAATTGTGGCAAAGACGTTTTATGATTAAAACTGGAAGTTGAATTGGTTGTGTTCACCAGGAATTTTTATCCCTTAAGGTTGCTGAACACAGTTTTGGCAGTTTTGGCAAGAGAAAGGTTGCAGCTCACAAGCTGAAACTTGGCAAGTGAAAAACATACTGATGAAAGATTTTGATTGACACTGGTAAAATGTGACATTTTCATTGTTTCCATGGCAACATGAACGATTGAATTCAACCTTAAAATTTCACTTTTGCCCCGTCTACATAAAATTCGCTCATTAGATTTTCCTATGAACTTGCACACAGCTCACTATAATTAATCATTATTATTTGAAACTTATTTGACCAAATTTTAACAGATGCGTTTTCAGATAATCAATAATATAATTGTACTATTATTATCATATGTGTCACAAAATTCATCTCTTCAAAAATTCTGCCAAATATCACAAAATTTTAAAAGCAATTTTACTGTCACGTCAGTAACACCAATGCTCTAGTTGTCCGATCCAGCACGTGCTGTTTTGCATTCAGCACGTAGTGCTGGGGAGATAAGTGAGGTTCTTTGGTCACACCATCGCCGGAAGTCACACAGGCTAACCTAGTGCAAGGCAGTGCTCCCCCATTAATGCAAACTTGCCTTTATTTGTTTTACAATTTAGTTACTTTGCATTCAACATGCATGTTTAAGGAACAGAGACATTAATGAGTGGATTTTGAGAAATCGTCTTCTGTGTACGGCATTAGTTTTTTTGCTGCCATGTTTTTTTTGTCTAATTTAAAACACGAGCATCACAAGAGTTACCGCTGACTACCGGCAAAACTGTGTTTGGCCACCTTAACTCCATAACAAGTACATATTGTTAGAGTGCATGTTTAAATTTTTGGGCTGGACCTGTCTTCAATATTATTATGTATGACTGTGCTATGTCACACTTCCCTCAAAATGAATCCAACTAAAATGATTTTACATATAAGAATTAGTACTGAACTTACATGTTGAAAAGTGTTGCATGTTGAAGCAGCTAATAAAACAGAAAATAAATTTTTTTTCTATAGTAATCATCTTCTTGCCTGCTTTGGTGTGTATGTACTGATATCATTGCCTTTGTTTTATTTTTCCTCTGGGTACCACTGTGGGTACCACCAGTATGTACTCCAAACATCATGCTGCAGTGGCCCTAATAACCCCCTGGGGTGGGGTATTTCTCCAGCCACTTTTTGGGGGAGAAGGGGTTATTGGAGAAGGAGATGGATTTGTTAGTGAGGTAGAGGCTCAGTTTAATCTAAAGTAGCAACCGTGCAAATTCACTTTAGGACAATGAATCAATGGTTTTACAAAATTAATTTGTTTCATCAGCCTAGCTCTTATCTTACTGAACTTTGGAGTTTGTGTGATCTGAAAATAATCATTACATCAAGTTACTGTAAAAGAAGTTTCTTTGATTTTAATAATTTTAATGCAATTTATGTTGCTGAAAGTCTTAGTCTGAGGAACCACATAATCTAATAGTGCTTTGGCAACAGTCTAAAGGCAAACATGTACATCAAAATGACAAAATGTTGGAAGGTAACCCTGTCAGGGATTAGCATCTCATCCTAGGTAGACCAGCAATAGCGGAAGATTCTTTGGACCGGTCTTCATGCTACACAGGGGTGTAGCCAGGATTTTTCCTGAGGTACGCACAATTTTTCAAATCCCCCTGCTCCCCACCCCTTCCTCTGTCTAAACTCCCAAATCGGAGGTGGGGTTATGCATTCACGCTTTATACCATCCAGCTTGCTATCTGCATGCTATGTTCCCCCCTTTCTCTAAATACAGTGGGTTAAATTATATAGAAGATGATCTGAAGGGAAATGAAATTTGCCTCAAGTTAGCGGGAGGTTCGAGTTATAGGAGGTTCAAGTTACCAGGAGTCGACTGTATATCATTCAAGATTCAGTTCACCAATGAAACACATCACTTCTCTACAGACCCACAGTCAGGTGTGGAAAAAAGGAACAGTCTGTTGTTTCAAAGAAATGCGCAGTCACCCAATTCAAAGAAACAAGCAGAGTTAAATGAATTGAGGAAGATTGCGCTTTTTAAAAATTTATTTGCTTTTTTCATTGTTCACTTTTTGCTACTATTTATTTTGATTTCATTTAATTTTTACCCACGCCTTTTTCAGGTAAGCACATGCGTACTGTGCCCACAGGTAGCTACATCCCTGCTACACGATAGTTATTCAGAGGACAGTCAGAACTTCGAAACCAAAATGTGATTTCTGTGTAAAGAGCTTTAGTTTAGTCTCACAAATAAACTATTTTTGCGAATGTGTGTCGTGCAGTTACGATGCGACGGCAGCGAAATCGCCACCATTTTAAATGAATTCAATCAAAGTTAGGAGAGAAAGAAAAATTTGTCGTCGCTTGTTTACGTCTTCAAGAAAAAACTTTCAAATAGGAAATTCCATGTCCTAGTCGTACAGCGATGGCAAAGAAATCCAACCGAAAAGTCTAAACAATGTATGTGATGCATGTGTAGAGTAATATTTGCTTGTTTAGACCTATTGCTTAAGTTTATTGACAGACGGAAATAAGCTTCATTTTTATGGCTTTTTATATCATTACTTAATAAATAAAGTGCAGTGTTACCGGAAAAGTCTCGAGCAATATATTTAAATAACTGAAACGCTGCATGCAGTTTTTATTCTGATTTACTTAAATCCTTGAAAGTGCTTTAACGACTCGTTGGCGAAAGGACCGTAAAAAAAATGACTCAAATGACTGAAAGTTGAAAGATCCTCACTTCAATTCGTGAATCTTAATTGCGTTCGAGGTACGAGAACGCACCCCCTAATTTGTGTTGGGTGTTCTGTGCATTATTGGGTTCCCTGTGCAATTAATAAGGGAGGTTCAGTTTTTCGAGACTGCATTTGTCGTCGTCATCCAAGCACATTTGCCTCGCTTTGAAGCGCTTGCTTACGTTTTGCCTCACTTTGACGAATTAACTCACGTGGTGATTCGAGCGTGCTCAAGCGTTTGCTGAGGTCTTTTATTCTGTCTTCGTAAAGCGTTCGTCTTTTAAAAGTTTGCTGAATCTTCGTAAAGCGTACATATTTCAAGAGTTTGCTGAAGGTCTACTATCGATCTGTGTTTGCTGAAACTTTCAGAACGTTCATCTTTCAAAAGTTTCGGCGGCCGTTGTGCCACGAAGTAAATCTAAAGAGTTGTGTAGATCGGCGGCCGTTGTGCCACAAAGCAAGTCTACAGAGTTGTGTAGCTGCGCGGCTGTTGTGCCACAAAGTAAATCTACAGAGATGTGAAGCTCGGCGGCGCCGTTTCATCATGACTTGTGATATTTTCGGCACCGGACAAACGAACATTTTAGGTCTATGTTATTCGGAAAAACTTATAAACAGCCCACAGTAGCTCCACTCAAGTCACTGAAATCAACACACTCGACCAAACTACTGCACTTTGAGACGGACCATACGATATCACCAGCCTTCAAGGCTTTTTCATAATGTTACACAGTTTAAAGAGGTTTCGCTGTAAGCAATCCTTACGTTTAAAATATGCCTTGATCAAATTAAAGCCCGGTTTCCATATGATCGCTACCATCGCTGTGATAGCTGCGATCGTTGAGAAAAAAAACTTCAGCGATCTTAGCGATCATATGAAGCCACTCCAGCGACTGCAGCGACAACAATCGCTGAGATATAAAAAGTTCTATCTCAGCGATCGTTGTCGCTGAGATCGCTGGAGAGTGGTTTCCACATGATCGCTGAATTTTTTTTCTCAGCCATCGCAGCGATCACAGCGATGGTAGGTGGTTTTTGGACGCCAAAAATTGGCTTTCTTAACGCACCTAATCGCATATACCTGAATTCAAAATATCCAAGTAATCATTTAAGGCGCCATAAAAAGATAAAAATAACAGAACAAAATTCACCCACGTATGCATTAACTTGATTTTTCCACCTTCGCTAGCATCAGGAAAACGTGAAATCTAGCTAAAGAAGGCAAACAAATCAATAAACACTTCGAAAGTTTCGTTTGTATTAAAACTTTGTTTTTCTCCCAAAAATTACATCACAAAGTGAAACCGGCCGGAACAAGGACCACATACTGTGCATTAAACAAAGTGAGCGACTGGGGATAATCGCGCTGAAATTTTAAAGAACGCGCTAAAAGCCACTATTTAAGTGACTTTTTCGCCGT